TACTTCTGTCAATTCCTCAAACTCATTTTTCATCCAGTTTTGTTCCCTTGCTGGCAAGGAGTTCTGATCCTTTGGAGGGGAAGAGGAATTCTGGTTTTTGGAATTTTCAGCCTTTTTGTGATGTTTTATCCTCATCTTCGTGGATTTATCTACATTTGATCTTTGATGCTAATGACCTTTGGATGGGGTTTTTGTGTAGACATCCTTTTGGTTGATGTTGATGTTATTGCTTTCTGTTTGTTAGCTTTCCTTCTAACAGCCAGGCCCCTCTTCCGCAGGTCCACTGGAGTTTGCTGGCGGTCCACTCCAGACCCTGTTTGACTGGGTATCACCAGCAGAGGCTGCAGAACAGCAAAGACTGCTGCCTGCTCCTTTCTCTGGAAGCTTTGTCCCAGAGGGGCACCTGCCAGATGCCAGCCAGAGCTCTCCTATATGAGGTGTCTGTCGACTCCTGCTGGAAGGTGTCTCCCAGTCAGGAGGCACGGGGGTCAGGGACCCACTTGAGGAGGCGGTCTGTCCCTTAGTAGAGCTTGAGCACTGTGATGGGAGATCTTCAGAGCTGACAGGCAGGAACGTTTAAGTCTGCTGAAGCTGCACCCACAGCTGCCCCTTCCCCCAGGTGCTCTGTCCCGGGGAGATGGGAGTTTTATCTGTAAGTCCCTGACTGGGGCTGCTGCCTTTCTTTCAGAGATGCCCTGCTCAGAGAGGAGGAATCTAGAGAGGCAGTCTGGCTACAGTGACTTTGTAGCCCTGAGGTGGGTTCCTCCCAGTTGAACTTCCCCACAGCTTTGTTTACACTATGAGGGGACACCGCCTAATCAAGCCTCAGTAATGGCAGAAGCTCTTCCTCCCACCAAGCTCAAGTATCCCAGGTCAACTTCAGACTGCTGTGCTGGCAGTTGAGAGTTTCAAGCCAGTGGATCTTAGCTTGCTGGGCTCCATGGAAGTGGGATCTGCTGAGCAAGACCGCTCAGCATCCTGGCTTCAGCCCCCTTTCCAGGGAAGGGAACAGTTCTGTCTTGATGGTGTTCCAGGCACCACTGGTGTACAAAATACATACATACATACATACATACATACATACATACATACATACATAAAATAAACCTCCTGCAGCTAACTGGATGTCTGCCCAAATGGCCGCTCAGGTTTGTGCTTAAAACCCACGGCCCTCATGGTGTAGGCACCTGAGGGAATCTCCTCGTCTGTGGATTGTGAAAACCGTGGGAAAAGCGTAGTACCTGGGCTGGAGTGCACCATTCCTCATGGCACAGTCCCTCATGGCTTCCCTTGGCTAGGGGAGGGAGTTCCCAGACCCCTTGCACTTCCCAGGTAAGGCAATGCCCTACCCTGCTTCTGCGTGCCCTCTGTGGGCTGGACCCACTGTCTAACCAGTCCCAGTGAGATGAGTCAGGTACCTCAGTTGGAAATGCAGAAATCACCTGCCTTCTGTGTTTGTCTCACTGGGAGCTGCAGACCAGAGCTGTTCCTGTTCGGTCATCTGGTCATCTTGCCCTGGACCAACTTTTTTTCTTTCTTTCTTTCTCTCCCTCCCTTCCTTCCTTCTTTCCTTCCTTCCTTCCTTCCTTTCTTTCTTTCTCTCTCTCTCTCCTTCCTTCCTTCCTTCCTTCCTTCCTTCCTTCCTTCCCTCCTCCTCCTCCTTCTCCTCCTCCTGCTCCTTCTTCTTCTTCTTTCTTTCTTTTTTCTCCTTCCTTCCTTCCTTCCTTCCTTCCTTCCTCTCTCTCTCTCTCTGTTTCTTTCTTCCTCCTTTCTTCTCTTCCTCCCTTTCCTTTTTTTTTTGAGACAAGAGTCTTGCTATGTTGCCCAGGCTGGTTTCAAACTCCTGAGCTCAATGGATCCTCCCAGTTTGGCCCCTGAGTAGCTGGAACTATAGGCGTGCAGCACCATGTTCTGCTGAATTCTTTATTTGAGCTGATGCAACTTAGAATTTTTTAAAAAAACAATTTTGTAAACAAATATTTATAGGGACTGGAATTCTTTTTTTAGGGAGAAAAAGAAGGAATGATTTCCCAAAATTGGTTTACAGAAACTTCAAGGGTTCAATTTAGATGTTATATTAACAGTGATCGTATAAATAAGGAAAATTGACTTACTGTAGGGGAAAGGAAATGATTAAGTTTACAAAAATATTGATTAATTTTTACATGTTAAGCTTTTCTTAAGTTATTTACTGAGTGCACAGTGACACTATACAAGGGCAGATATGCTCCTTAGGATTCATACCCCAAAGCAAATGGATTTCAAAGTATGTTTCATTGCTTCTGGATTATCTTTTCTTAGAGACTCTTAAAAGATTATACTCATTTAAATGAAATATATTAAATCTCAGTGGCCAAAAAATAAAAGAAATGATGGATCAGAAAACTTTTCAGTGTTCTTTCAGTCTCTAATTATTTATCCATCCATTCAACAAATACTTATATATGTGCCATTTGGTGTTCTAGCTGATGGCAATGGAACAAATAACAAAAAATCCTGCCCTTATAAAACCTTATGATACAGAGTTAGGAGGAAGACAAAATAAAAAATAAACAAGTAAATTTCCCAATTTTATGGAAATTAATAAGAAGTATGACAAAGCAAAGCTGGGAAAGGAGTAGGAAGTGTTGAGATATGAAATAGGGTGGATAAGCAAGTCTTCACTGATGAGCCAACATTTAAGCAAACACCAACAGAAGGTGGATGTGCAAGCCATATGGTTATCTGAACAAAGTATACTTCATGCAGTGAATCAGAAATGCAAGGCCTTGAAGTTGGGGCATGCCTGGCTATCCCAGAAACAGAAAACGGTCAGGGTTGCTGGACGGAGTAATGAAGGGTGAACTTCCTAGGGTTCTGAGATCAGAATGGTAAACAGGTCCAGGTCCTATAGGGCTTTACAAGTCAGTGTAAGGACCTCAGATTTTTCTCTGAGAGGTGAATGTTTTGAAAGTTTTGGGCAGAAAACCAATATTCTCTGACTTGCATTTATAAAAGAAAGTCTCTGTATACTATGTTGCAAATAGCCTGTATGGGGTAAGATGGCAGCAGGAAGGCCTGTAAGCAGGCAGTTACAATAATGGCAAGTGAAAAATAATCATGATCGGACAAAGGGGACAGCTATGAAGGCAATGAGTGGTGGGTGAATTCTAGATTATTGTATATATTTTGAAGATCGAGCCAATGGGATTTGATTATAGATTGGATGTAGAGTAAGAAAGGTCAAGATGACTGCAAGATATTTTTTAACTGAGCAACTGGAAGAATAGCATTGCTGTTAGCTAAGGTGGAAAAAAATCGTATGTGGGACAGGTTTGTGTGTGGTGAAGGAAAATCTAGAATCCTTTGTGGGACATAAAAATTGGAGATGTCATTTAGACATTAAAGGGGAGATGCTGAGAGGGTCAGTTGCCAGTTCAACCCTGGAGTTCAAGGAAAGATCCAGACTAGAGAGATTAACTTGGAGATATTAGTGTATGGAAAGCATTTAAAGCCATGAGACAGTATAAAAACACTAAGATAACAGACAAAGAGAAGCAGTCCAAGGTCTTTATGATCAAGGAGGAATGATTTATTATTAGTTTACCTACTGAGTCAGCTAAATTTGGTATGCACACAAATCTCCAACCTGTAACATCTACATCATCCACACATCCTTAGGTATATCCAATTCTTAAAAAATAATTATTTCAAGACTCATTCTTTCATTCAAGGTCAAAACTGCCAGTATCTGAGCTCTTGGATCCTAAAGTGCTTGATTCCCTTAAATCTGTCACAACGCTCAATTTTAGCAATTACAAGATCTAGGCACTTATTTTATAATCTCTCTCTCTTTTTTTTTTTTTTTTTTTTTTGAGACAGAATCTTACTCTGTCACCCAGGCTGGAGTGCAGTGGCACGATCTCAGCTCACTGTCTCCCAGGTTCAAGCGATTCTCCTACCTCAGCCTCCCAAATAGCTTGGGTTACAGGCACATGCCACCACGCCTGGCTAATTTTTGTATTTTAGTAGAGATGGGATTTCACCATGTTGGTCAGGCTGGTCTTGAATTCCTGACCTCAGGTAATCCACCTGCCTCAGCCTCCCAAAGTACTGGGATTACAGGCGTGAGCCACCACGACCAACCTATAAGCTGTGTATTCCTATTATTTCCTATTATCTTTTGGTTTTCTGTTTAGGCAACTGAGGGAAGAAACATTGGGGAAATAACTGATTAGATTAATTTGCTTCAATCATTATTCGTTTTAGTCACTTACAAAATAAAATAAAGCATAATATAACAAAATCCAATCAGGACGAAAGTTTTACCCTTTTTATTCTGTCTCCCTCCCCTCTTCCTTCCTGCCCTCCTTTCTACTCCTTCTCTTCTTCTTCTTCTTCTTCTTCTTCTTCTTCTTCTTCTTCTTCTTCTTCTTCTTCTTTTCTTTCTTTCTTTTCTCTTTCTTTCTTTCTCTTTCTTTCTTTCCTTCTTTCTTTCTTCTTTCTTTCTTTCTTTCTTTCTTTCTTTCTTTCTTTCTTTCTCTCTCTCTCCTCTCTTTCCTCTCTTTCCTCTCTCTTTCTTTCTCTTATTTTTCTAGGCAGGTTCTTCAGGTCCTATACCGAGTCTGTACGTCTAGGTCACATATCCTGTCTTGATAATCATCCCAATCCATCATGAAATGTTTACGTCCAAAGCCTATTTTTCACATTCTCATCTGTAGAGTTTATGAATGCTATGGGATGGGGATGTTTTTGGCAATCAGATTAAATTTCTACCACTAGAATTTGGCTAGAAATAGCGAGGAATCTAATGAACATATGTTTCCAAAACTAAGTCTCATCCATCTCACTTAAAAATTTAGACACATCCATCTAACCTGTAGTTTAGAATTGGAAACCACTAAGTACATTTTATATCCATCATAATGTATGGATCTTTCTTATAGGATGTGTTCAAATGCTATAAAAAAGTAATTAATCAGTCCATAATCCCAGTGAGCCTGGCATTTCCTGATACTCACCTAGGTTTTTGTTCCAGGATTTTGTCTTTTGGTCTAGTTCTGGAGTTGACTGCACTGACTCGCTTTAGAGCATGAGCTGGAGAGAAAGACAGTCAGTGTTTTTATATCCACAATTATAAGCCAACAATAAACAAAATAGAGAGAAGTATAATGGAGGATTACACAAATTGGAGAGGTTTTTAAGTTCTAGATCCATAGGTTTACTGGGAGCCCTAGTATTTTCTCCATTATTTCAGCTTGTCCTAAAATGTTCTGTAATATCGTAGTAAAACTGAGATTTCTTGTTGAGAAAACCTACAGAGAAATTATTTTTTTTTTTCTCAGAGAAAGGAATGCTAACTCTCTCAGTGTCCCTCTGAGAGGGCTGCTAACTTATTTCAGATCTTCCACAGAAGGGCTAAATATTTCCCAAGAGGAAAACCACTCTAGCCTTTAAAAGAAACATAATTTCATGCAGCCTTTATACAAATGTGATTCTCGTGAAGATTAGTAAGAAAACACAATGGCAAATTCCCCAAAGCTGTCATTGTCTTGCAAGTGTCACTAACAGTGATAATAGCATCCTATGTGACAGGCATTGCCCTAAGGGCTTTGTATCTCTTTTAATTTTCAAAACTACCCCTATGAGAAAGATACTATAGTTATTGTCCTTATTTTAGGGATAAAAAGACTGAGGCACTGAGCTCTTACGCAGGAAACACAAACCAAGGTCATACACCAAGAACTATCAGCTACTGAGGTTCAAATAACCTTAGTGAATTTGATGGTAAATGGGCTAGTGAATTTGATGATAAATACCTCAGTGCTAGACAGATTTTTGTCTTTATTCACAGTCTGATACTTGAACTCTTTGAATTTTAGATTTCTCATCTCTAAACAGAAAGAATTGAATTTGGAGATTTCTAAGGTCTCTTCTATGAATTCTATGCTTTCTTTTTTCTAGAAGGAATCATCTAGCCCATAATGGAAGAAACTGATTGACCTCAAACATCTCTATGAAACATGGGGATTCCATGGCTCAAAGAATGCAAATTCAGTTTGAAGATGTTTCAGTCTGTCCCTCTAAGGCACAGTCTCATCTTTATAGCCTTTAATAATAATATTTAAATTTATTTATTTTCAATTTATAAACTACTTTTACAGGCATTATATAAATTGAGCTCACAAATGACCTGAAAGATAAGAGAATAGGTAAATTTAACTATATTTTGCAGGAGAAAAACATAAAACTCAGAAAGGGTAAGTGGCTTGCCTGAAACCCAGAATTGTTTAAGACAGGGCAAGGGAGGAGAGCAAGTATTGGGGAAGAAGCAAGCATCAGTAAATGAGAGTGAGCCACTCCCTCTTTCCACTTTCCTCTTTCCAGTAAGTCAGTACTAAGTCAATGTGCTTGTTCCTACACAATTGATACAATGTTTAAGAGCTTAGTTGTTCTCTGACATGAAACAGCAGTAGCATGGGATTCAAATTCTGTCACTTACCTTCTGTCTTAATTTGAGCAAGACACCTAATCTCTGTGTCTTGCTTATGAATTGTTTATTTCTGGAGTTTTTCATTTAATATTTTTGGACCATGGTCGACTGCGGGTAGCTGAAACCGCAGGAAGCAAAATTGCAGGTAAGGGGGAACTAGTGTATAAGTCGGCACAACATTGTGGAATAAACAGTGGACCTATTGTTAGGAATCCCGGAATCTAGTTCTCTCACTGAATAACCGTATCAGTCTTCATCAAACGACACAGAAAAAGCAGAGACTTTGTAGAAGAGACCTTAGAAATCTCCAAAATGAGGACCATGGCAGCCTCTGGAGTTTTGGAGGAGGATTAAGTAAATGTAAAACTTGTGAATATATTGACATCGTTACGATCCACGATGTACAAGCTGTCATCAGTATAATTAGTTTGTGTAAGAATTAGCCTAACCTAAATCTGTAAATATGTAAAATTTATCTTTAGCTTTGTTATACTTTTCTTCATAAACCCATTTCTCACCTCTGATTTGATTATCTTATATAACATTTCCATAAGGCAAGACTCTTAGATTTTTTAGAGCTAGATGGAATCTTAGAGATGTGATATATCCAAACCCAAATTACACTGCAAAGAGTACTTTTTACCATTGACTTTCTAAGCTACCTGTTATTGACTTCAGCAGTGAGAGTAAGAATGATAGGAAAGAAAAAGAAATGAGTAATAAGCAGCTGGAGGGGCAGGGGAGAGATAATAATGTACATTGTTCAGTTCCATGTTTGCCACTAGGAAAAGCAGAGTGAGCTGAAGCACTGTATTTCCCAAACGGGAAGAACCACAAGAATTAAGTCGTTTGATGAAGACTGATGTGGTTATTCAGTGAGAGAACTAGATTCCAGGATTTCTAACAATAGGTCCACTGTTTATTCCACAATGTTGTGCTGGCTTATACACTAGTTCCCCCTTACCTGCAACTTTGCTTCCTGCAGTTTCAGCTACCCACGGTCAACCGTGGTCCAAAAATATTAAACGAAAAACTCCAGAAATAAACAATTCATAAGTTTTAAATTACTTGCTATTCTGAGTGGCCTGATGAAATATTTCACCGTTCTGCTCTGTCCTGTCTGGCAAGTGCAGCATCTCTTTGTCTAGCACATACATGCTCTGTGGATGCTCCCCATGCATTGGTCACTTGAGAGCTTGGGTTATCCGATCAACTGTCATGGTATTAAAGTGCTTGTGTTCAAGGAACTCTTATTTTTCTTCATGATGACCCCAAAGTACATGAGTAGTAATGCTGGCATCTTGGTCTATTTTATTATCAGTTATTGTTGTTAATCTCTTACTGTGCCTAGTTTATAACCTGAGCTTTATCATAAGTATATACATAATTTTAAAAAGCATAGGATATACAGAGTTAGGTACTCTCCAAAGTTTCATTCAACCACTGGGGGTCTTGGAAACATCCTTTGTGGATGAGGTGTGCCTACTGCACTCCCATTGTAGTGACACATAAATTAACTAGAATTTTGAAACTGAAGAATTGTGTACCTTTTAAAGAAATTTTTGAACAGACTCAAGATCAAAAAGGGTGAATTATAATAAATAAATGGAAGATCACAGAGTGATCACACCTCTTACATCCTACTCTCTGCCAGGTAATTTCTTTCCCCTAAATCTCAGCAAAAGCGTACTCAAACAGAATCTGATTTCCCTTGATATTTATGCAAATAACAGAAAGAAATTCCCCACAGGGACAGACCTGTACCTAAAATCTGTGGAACCAGAGCAAGAGTGCAATAAAGGCTCACATGTTGCATTTCCAGTTATTTAAAAGTCACTGATGGAACTAAAAGACTCAAGTTCTATCGCTTTCTCTGACAAATACACCTTCCAAGCCACCTAGAAGGCGAGGATCAGATGAGAATGTCTGGATTCCTGAGACTTCCTCTGGGGGACATGGCAGTCCTTGATGAGTCAGTCTCAGCCAAGGCCTTTGCTCCTCTTCTCCCCCTCCCAAGCTCCACTTTGCACTCTCAGAAGTTCTGTACATCTGCAGATACCTCAGCTGACATGTCCAGACTCTGCCCACTCTCCCACCCGCAAGAGCAAACATCCTCAGGCCAAAGAATGATGCAAGCCAGCAGGGCAGTCTGTCCGTGAAAGAACAAACCTGAGGAATGATAGCCCGGGTCCCAGGAGCAAGCTTCCATTATTTGAGCAGAGAATTCTGGGACCTGAGTTCCTAGAATGGTCAAGAAGTGGGAAGTGGGGAAGACACTCCTAGCCAGAGAGCCATGCAGGGAAGGCTAGAGTGGGAACTGACTAAAGAATGAAGTACAAGACGAGGTTCAGTTGGCCCAGGTTTAGGAGGCAGCATTGCAGGGACATCACGCTGGATGTAAGCTATTATTTAATGTAGTGTTTGATACCAAGATCCGTTTTTGTCTTGCTCCCTGCAGTGGCTAAGGAAATCATCCTCTATAGAGCTAACCTTTTACAGATTCTCTCTTGATCTAGCTATCTAGTTTTTATTGTGAGTATAAGTTTTTCTGTATTTTTTATCCAGCATTCAAAAAATCAAAATTCCAGAATATTCATTTTTAATAACACATTCTATTTCTGGCATAAAAATTTTCTCTACTTTCCACCTTTCTGATTGTCATGGAAAAGACAGAAATATTGAGGTAATTAGAAAGAAGTTAAAGTTACATTTTTCTAACTCTGGCAAATTTCTGATTGTGAGTTGGTAACATCTATTAATAGATCTATTAATATCTATCAGCCCAACTTCAAGAATATTACTGCTTTTATTCTGTTACAGTAGAGGGCACTTGTACATAAAAAAGTTATACAAATACAGAAAAGGTAGGATTTTATTTCCAAAATTGGGTATTTAAACAACAACAAATTCAACAGGTTTCAAAAGACACACAATTTATATTTCGTGGCAAATTAAATATTTAGCTTAAAGCTTACACACTGCTTACTTTTGGAACTATATTTTCTAAAGGCATACAATCTGTATTTCATGTGACCTTTAAAATAAATGGCCACACACACAAGAAAGATACTGGCTTAAAGCATTCCATAGCACCTTGTTACCTCCTGAGGGAATACACTTTCAGATTCATCTCTTTAACAAACAGCTACCGAGTGCCTGTAATTTGCCTAGCATGAGGCTACCTAAGTGACAGAGATAGAGAAATGACAGATTCCATGCTTCTTCTAGTCTAGGAGGCACTCCTAGACATCTGTTTTCTACACAAGAAGCATAAATTATTACTTAACCTTTCTGAGAAAGCAAGGAATCATTTCCATAGTTGCTAGACATTAAGAAAAGAGGAAGTTCCTCTTCTGTTAAGGATGCCAGCCATATCTGACAATCCACCAAAGAATTT